ATTGGCAGGGTGACAGGGTACGCCTGCTGTCTCTTTTAGTCCCTTTTCAGAATAAAACAGACTTTCTGAAAGGGACTCGCTAATGTAAAGACCAATAATCACATGTAGTGACGCCACATCAATATTTACACCCTCTCTAAAAATCACGAGATGTCTAATTTTTAATTTGATCACTGAAACAAAAAAGTCAGAGTGTATTTAGAAGTTACAGTTATTTTATTTTTTTTGCATCAGTAAATGTGAGATTATCTATTGTTTGAATGTGGACCAGTCATACTGTCAGGAGAGCAACACAATCTGGAAAAACAATCACGTTTTTACCTTCTTACTTTGTTAGTTTCAGGGATAGTTAGTGGAAAATGGAAACTATCACAAAATTTTTGGAGGAAGTTTGAATGAATGAAAAATCTGATTGGGTATATCAAGGTTCTTGCACTTCATTTTATATCTGTGGTTTTTAGACTGACTTACATGTTAATCTCAGCGAGAGATTAGAATGTAGAAAGATATCGCATTGTCTTCTTTGAAAAGGGTCTCACATGAATCCACCGCTTTTTAAAAAGCACATTTTCAAAAATGTCATTCCTGGAGCCAAATGCCCGCAGTTCAATTCCCTTATAAAAATATTTTCATGGAATTTATGATTTATTAAACGGTTCAGAGAAGAAGGAGACAAAAATGATGAGACCGTAACTGTCAGGTCCGCTCGGCCCGACCTGCCTCTCTTTCTTTTTCCTCTCCTGCTCTTCCTTTTTGCGGGATCAACGCCTCAGCTGTGTCGCATCGGGTAATTAGTGACTCGTGGGTCGGTGCGCACACCTGAGGCGTATTCCGGTGATTTGTTGGCTTCCTTATTTATACCTCTGGCAGACGCCCCGTCGTGGCCGGAGCATTGCGACATGTAGTGGACATTACTTACTCTATGTAAGTTACAAATGTTGTGTTTGACCCGCATATTTTTAGACGTGTGTAAGATGCTACGCTGACAGTCTCTGTGCGTCTTGGCTTGACCTTATCACGCTAATTATGCGGTTAGCAA